CGATATTCAATTTTTTCCATTTTTACAAAATGACGACACAAATGATTGTCAAACAAGAACTGAACGTCCAAAGTGGCCACAATTGTCACAGATATCTTTCGTAAGTATCACGATTATAATACCAGAATGGCTTTGACGAGTAACGCGATCTTCATGATGAGGCTCAAAACTTTTCAGACGACCCTCGTATTCACTTTACTATTTGGAACCAAAAATAAAATCACTGGTATGAATATTTCTATTTCTAACCTTTGACAGTCATCGAAATTCTCGAAGAATAATCCACAACCATATTACTTTTCGCGGTATAAAGTGAAACAGATTACTTTTCGTAGTTAAATTATCAACCATATTAGTTTTCGCGATATAAAGTGAAATATGTTACTTTTCGCGGCTAAAGGCCATTAAACGTTGGAACGTATTAATTTTCGTGGTGTAAAAAGAAACATACTACTTTTCGTCACAAAACGCTTAAACACTTATTATTCGTGGTATAAAATGAAATGTGTTACTTTTTGAAAGTCAAAACTCAAATATATTGATTTTCGCGGGTAAAACGGAAACATAACGTTCTTCAACGCAACGACGTCAAAAGTGAAGTTTTTCCTAGGACAAATGAAACGTGCTACTCTTCGTAGCAGGCGTCGATATATTGAACATGATGAATAGTTCATTTCGTCGTAGCAAACGAGAATGGATTGAAATGGATTAAAATATATTCAGATTTTTAAAAATACGGATTCATGAATGTTAAAATGAATCCTTTTCAATTCCGAATGCATTTTTATTTATTTATAGGAATGGCATGGAGTATATTTCTATGCTTTTTAATTTAAAAATAATATTATAGTATTTTGTGTACGTCGTGAATACTGCTTAATTTAAAATTCTGAATAGGAAATGCAGTTTTTCAATCCAGTTGAATTTAAAAATAATATCGGCCATTTCTGTGCATTGTGAATACTGCTTAATTTAAAATTCTGAATAGGAAATGCAGCTTTTTAATCCAATTGAATATAAAAAAGAGTTTTTTTTTTAAATAGGCAATGAATACTAGTTAATTCAAAATTATGAGTAGAAAATCCATTGTTTCATTTAAAAATGCACCATGAATGCTATTTTATTCAGAATTATGAATAAGAAATTTTTCGTTTTAATTCAACTGAAATAAAAAAAAGTTGTACCGTAAAAATATATCATGAATTCTACTTCATTTAATAGTCGCAGATATAGAGGAGTATTGGAGTAAAGGGGAGAAAATACAAGACAGCACAGGTGGAGAATAACACGTTGCCTAATCTTAAGCCAGCCAGATCTCTGGTAATACGGAGATATATGGTCGTATTTACGGACGCAATAGGAGAAGCGGAGACAATAATTTTGGATACGCTGTACACGATTTAGCAGACGTTGGTTAAGAGCCGGAACGTAGACGACATCAGCGTAATTAAATAAAGAAATAACGAGTAATTGAGAAGTGAGAAGTTTTTGAGAGCACACACACACACACACACACACACACACACACAGGAAAGGATGGCGAAGGGAATAAAGAAGACGTAAACGAGCATAAGCAGCCCGACACTTGACGACCACGTGTGACTCGAATGACGATGAAGAGTAAACATGGACACCAAGAATCTTAATACAGGAGGAGTGAGGAATTGGAATAGAATTAAGAGAAATATTGAAGGACTGAATACGGGATAACAATGTTAACCGACAATCAGCAAAGATAATTTAGAAGGATTTAGATGCAGGGGATTATTAGTGGACCATTCAGCAATAGATCTTAAGTCTATATTCAAAGCAGAACAGGTTGCTAAAGCATCGAATGAGTGAAAGGATTTGAGAAGAATTACGTCATCTGCATACATGAAGAGCTCGGAGGTCAGAGAAACATTAGAAAAATTAGAGACAAAAATATTAAAGAGTAAGGGTCAAAGAATGGAACTCTGGAGAACACCAGAGATAACCGCACGAGTAGAGGAGAAAAGAGAAAAAGGATTATATATACATGAAGACTTGCTGCGTGCAGTTTGTAAAGAACGAGCAGATTAGTGAGAGAGCAGAATGAGAAAGACCACATAACTTGAGTTTGACTAAAAGTAGGTCATGATTGATGGTATCGAAAGCCTTTGTGAAGTCGTAGAAACATGAATTTACGTAATTCTTTTTATGTTTCTTTTAACTATTAAATGAAGGAGAATTCATGATATATTTTTACGGTACAATTTTTTTTTAACTTAGTCAAATTAAAACGAAAAATTTCTTATTCATAATTCTGGATAAAATAGCATTTATAATGCATTTTTAAATGAAACAATGAACTTTCTACTCACAATATTGAATTGAATAGTATTCATGGCCTATTTTAAAAGAAAAACTTTTTTATTTTAAAAGAAAGACTTTCCTCTAGTATTCACGATACACATAAAATATTATAATATTATTTTTAGATTGAAAAGCATAGAAATATACTCCATGTCATTCCTATAAATGAATAAAAATGCATTCAGTATTGAAAAGGATTCATTTTAACATTCATGAATCCGTATTTCTGAAAATCTGAATCCATTTTAACCATTTCAATCCATTCTCGTTTACTGGGTTGTCTTATATAGTAATATAAATTGTTTATATTTTATTATATCTGTTAAATGATGATATCTTTATTATATCTATGTAATTTCATACGCTGGTTTAGCTGATTATAATTGAAGTAGACAATAAATAACACACTTATCAATTGAAGAAATGGTGTAGCGGGTACGCAGAAGATTTATAATCCAAAGTTCCCGTTTTTTAATATCAATTTGAAGTAGTTAATTTCAGGTATAATTATTATAAATGCCTTAGGAATAAAATTTGTAACCCTTAAATATAAATGTTTTTTTTTTTTCGAATATTAAACTATAGTGTCAGCTCGGGTCCAATCCATTTCAATTCATTCAATTCATTTCAATCCATTTTCATGAATTTAAAGTATGCATTCAAAAAATTTTAATCTATTTTAATCCATTCTCATTTACTGGGAGGAAATTTATTATCAAGTCGTTTTATTTTCTATCTATTTCATGAACAGAAACGAATTTATGTTCTTAGATCAGAGTTGGGCACTATTCGAATAATTTTTTATTTAGAATATTATTCAAATAGAATTTTATTTATTATTTGCATTATTTATTATTTATATTAGTCATTATTCATATTATTCACCATTATATTATTGATGTTTATTCGTTATTCGTATTATTCTTCATTTGCATTATTCGTTATTTGCATCATTCGTTATTGGCATTATTCGTTATTGGCATTATTCGTTATTGGCATGGTATAAAGACAAGGGTATGCTCATCCCGTGGAAACCCACTGCGCATCTCAACAAGCTTACGTCACATTCGTAAAAGAGAGAAAGAGAGAAGTTTATATGTATACACAACCCCTCTCTTTCTCTCCTTCGAAACGTGACGTATGTTGGTTGAATGTCACGTGGTACCTATATGCGCATAAGCATACCCTTGTTCTTGTATCATGGTTATTGGTATTATTCGTTATTGGTATTATTTGTTATTCGTATTGTTCTATTTTGTATTATATTGTTCCTAAAACACGAGCCTTTCACGAGTCTGTCACGAGGTCACTGTATAAAAATAAAGATCCACGTTCTAAATAATATCCACTCATTGTTAGTTACTAATTGTATACGCTATAAGTTTCACCACGCTTCTTTATCGCTTTGAACTACGTTTAGTGTAAAATAAAGTTTAATAAAAAAAGTTGTTCTACATTATACTTTACAATACACACATATTAAATGTGATCTATATATGTTGAATTATATATTATTCATTCGAATACATTGTATAAATTTTATTTAAATTATATATTATTCATTCGAATACATTGTATAAATTTTATTCGAATATATCTTTAATTCGAATACATTATTCCCACATACACGAATATAAATGTTATTCGAATATAATATTATTTTAGATACACAAAATAAATTTATATTCGAATAAAAAATTATTTTTTATTTATGAATAAGACTTTATTCTTTATTCGTTATTTTTTATTCGTAAATGTGCTCAACTCTGTCTTAAATACCAATTCATTTTAATCCATTCTCGTTTACAAGGCCTTTACTCTTTTCTGTTCTGAAAAATTTTCCAAGGATGTGTAAATAGAAGTAACAACAATATCCAAATAATATCCAAGATCGTTTGCAGAAATAAATATATCGATGAAATAGTTTTAAAAATAAATAATGACAATAAAAATTTTTCTGAATGAACATTACTGTATGATTGTGATTTCTATTTCTTTCATTTTAGGTATTCAAAAAATGGAATTGGAATGAAAATAGTACTCATGTACCGGTGCGAGTATTTACATATCTTATAGGCAAGGAAGCGACAAAGATGGATGAACTCCAATGGATGGTAAGATCGTGTCTAAATCGTGGCGATTACAAGCACATACAGACTCAGGAGGAAGTGCGCGAACAAGTGCTCAAGTACATTCCAGTTGTAGCGCGTCCTTTGGTACTTCAGAGTGTGGTACATCCTATCGTGTGGACGCACACTTACGTTGACATCACGGTAGGAAATGTTAAAAACAAAACTTTTAAAAGGTCCAATTTTAATCTAATCTTTTCCCGTCATTCTGTAAGCAATTCAAAAAAGTTTTTTAAATGGTGATAAATTTACAAGAAGTATATTGTGAAATTATTATATACTTCTATTATTTAATACAAATCTAATACAATTGTATAATTATACAATTTGTATATAACAAATACGTATTACTCATTTGCTCAGTTTAAAAAAAATTTGTCTGAAAATTAAAGATGATATTATAATTTGTGATACGAAAAATCTAAAATTTTTAGAAGAAAAACAATTTTTAATTGTAAATTTTAATAATATTTATATATTAGTTTTTAAAATTATACAATTGTAATTTATTACTACGAATTTCGTCTTTTTATATTTTTTACTATGTCTTAATGTTTTGTAAAAGTGAAAATATATATAGGGAAAATAAAATAAACATACGTAAATCCCATCAGAATCCAGCACTTGCCGCTTGGCTATGGTGGGTGATGAAGCACGGGCAACAAAAGTCGCGACTGGAAAAATATCTTAAAGGAAAACGGCTGGGCGTGCGAATAAACGAAGACGCAATCTACATACAGCAGGTTTAGATACGATCAAGAAAGCACCCCCGCTGTCTGTTCCTAGGCTTTCCAAGCATTCCGTGTAGATTTATATCACGCTATATCTCCCTTGGCACAAGCTCCTGTATTTAATCTTTCGAATACCAAACGGGAGTAAAACTTACGAGACACAATTTTGCTAAAATTCTTTTTTTTAGAAAAGGTACATTTAAAAATTGGTTTTAAATCAGTGGATAATTTCCAACTTCGATCACTCTGTTTGGTAATTCATGTAAGATCAAGCGAGATAATAAATAATGGCATATTTAATTAAATAAACATTACTTTTTACTGATTTCTGAATTAGATTTGAGAATCTCTTGAATATCTCGCTCAATCTTAAAGTTAAAGGCTTAATACCTAGAGGAATTAATTAATATAGTTCGTTGAAGTGTCGATTCGGAGAACTGGACGAACATCCACAAATAATTTATTCGCTAGGCATTGAGATATGACTAATTGATACAGCGAATGGTCTTCGGCCAATTAGTTATTGTTAGCAGATTGAATACTTCAAGCTAGGTTTAGTACCCTGTTGGCTGCGGGCTTCATCGATTTTAGTTTAATTCGTTTCTTTTTTATTTTTTTCCTATTGTTAGACCAGTGTTAGCTGCTGTATAAAATGTTCGGGATTAAGCGGACAACCAAAGACCTCGAGTCTTTGAAAATATCACTGAACGATGAGATTTTTAAAATTAGATTCTGATTTAAGAATATATTACACGCGATAAAAAATATGTTTCTGTAATCAGTTCTCTTGGGATTTCGGTTGCACCCTTGGTTCCGAGACACGCTCTATATACCTCGGTATTGAAGTGACCGAGTGTGAATTAGATAGCGTGGCCCTTTGCTTTTGTTCCAACCTATCGACGTATTCACTCCTTTTAACGAAAGAAAATTATAAAGGGGATGATATATTACTATCGAAAACTGTTTTTCAATTTCGCTATCGCTCTGTGTAGCTGCACAAGGACGAGAACATTGAGGAAGATTCATCCACCCTGAACACCACAACCTGGCAAGAATACAGTCTGTTGACTTCCGTGAGCACACCTGTGTTTGATCGTAAGAGCAGTCGCAACAACATGACAGATGCAGCGAATGACACACTGTTCGGTGTGGCCGGTACAGACGTGCCGATTGATGACATCCGCAAACTTACGTTGCCGTATAAACTCGGTGTGAATGGCTACGCCTTTATTGTATCTAATAACGGCTATGTGATATTACATCCAGACCTCCGGCCAGTTTACAAAGGCCGGCTTAAATTGAACTATAACAGCATTGATCTCACGGAGGTAGAGATACTTGACGACAGACGCGAGCCAAGGTACATAACACAACGACATTTTCGTCATTTTATAGTTTCTTTCCATAAATAGATAAATACAAAATATTGAATTAATTATTTTAAAAAATGAAACATTTTATATTTGAATCGTTACGTTTCTTTTATTAAGTATTATCTTTTATTTGAAGTGTTCATTAATTAAAAATGGACACAGGAATCCGGGTCCCGAATTATTGGAGCTGAGATCAGCGCTGGTGAATCACAAGCGAGGTAACATGATGGGGATTCCCGTGAAATTACATTATGATAACAATCGTCGGGTCAACCTTGAGAAACGTGACTATTTTTATGCGCCCCTACCTGGTACTCCATTTGGTCTTGCGGTTGTTTTACCCAATTATGGAACTACCTGGATTAAGGTAGAAGCAGCACCAGAGCAATTTCATTATCTTTTTTAAACAATCGCATTTAAAATATTTCTATGCACAATTAATTATACTAATTAATAAATTATTACATACAGCATAAATTGTATCAAGTAGTAATTAATTATGCACGCAATTATGCTCACGGTATTGAATATGTGCTCAAATAATTGTATGTCTAATTTTTCAAGGTCGGCGATGAGATTCGCAGAAATCAGAATATGAATGTAAATGTGTCGGATTATTTTGTGGGCGATCATTGGCGCGTACATCCTAGCTGGGTATATTGTCGTTACCATTATTTGGAAGGTCATGAGTTCAATAAGCCGGAAGACGAGTTACGTCATTTTTTGGCGCTGATGAGCCAGCCTGGTTGGCGCTGGTCTGAGCAATATGAGGCTTATTCATCTATAGATGAAGATGTTGATGAACAACCCAACTGTGGCAGACAAACGCTCAAACACGATGACTACTATTGCAACAAAGAACTTATGCAGTTGCTTGTATTTGATGCCAAGGCGACGAACAACAGCTTCCACGGTGACTATATGGAGAATTTACCTCCAAGGGCTCAGGATCTCGCACATCACTACGGTATCTTTATAAGATTTATCGCGACGCAAAGCGGGCTCACCAGGTGGCATCATCTTAAAGCCAGCAAACTGCCGAATATGGACAACAGTGTTGTTTTCGGTGATCTTCATAGACGAGCAGTGAATGAGCCTTGGTACAAAGGCGCGATCTTTCAAAGTGAACTAGATTCCGAAAGTATTTCTTTATCTGGTAAGAATCATATTCATTGTGGATAGGACATAGAATTTTTTTATAATTACTGTTGTGTATTTATGGTGTGTATTTTTTTTTTAATCAATCGTGAAATCATGTCTGTATGAGCCGACACAAGGTTTTTTATGTGTATGTTCTTCATTAAATTTAGATCCAATCAATAAATGTTTTAATCCATCTTTCGGATTCTCTTTAATATAATGTAACGCATACAAAATTCTCCTGTATAAATTGTCTATCCGTAATAAATTGATCTCTTTTAATGATAAAAACGTTGTAAAGTGTAATACAAGAATGTAAAATTTCATCTTTCTGATCACATTATACTTTACAACGTTTTTACCATTAAGAGAGATTAACTTATTTGTATTTGTATATAGGAGAATTTTGTATGCATTAAGTTACATTGAAGAGGATCCGAAAGATAGATCGAAACGTTTGTTGATTGGATCTAAATTTAATAAAAAACATACACACTCTCTAAACAACTTTGTGTTAGCTCATATAAGCATGATTTCACGATTGATTTAATTTAGCTGAGCCTGAAATAATTATTAAATATATTTTTTTTAATTATCTTTTATAATCATTCTGTGATTGATTTAAAATCAACGTTTATATAATTACTTATTATTATACATAATTTATATTTGAAATGAGTAGTAGTATAATATATGAGACAAAATATCATTGCAGTTCCATGGGAAGCAGGCGCGGACGCGATAGTGACCGCTTCGATGAGCCTGTCACCCAAGGATGGCGGCAAGAAAGCGCCAGCGGCTGTAGTGGGTTTTCAGATGCCGATGAAAGATCTGTACAAGCGGTTCATTGCATTGACCTCAGACAATCAGACGACGAATACGATAATAAATTGTGCCCACAATTGGATTGACTGCTATTTGCTAGATCAAAACGGCTATGTAGTGATCTCAGACGCACATAATGACACCGGACAATTTATGGGCACTCAGGAGGGTGCCGTCATGCTATCCATGGTCAAACAGGGTCTTTACAATCCGGTCGATATCTATGATTATCAAGCATGGTGTCAGGAGACTGTAAGTAATATATGTCAAAGAATAATATGATAATTGACAAAAATAATAATTATATTAAAAGTATTTAGTATAATTAAAAAATAATAATTATATTAAAAATATTAATTATATTAAAAGATCATATTTAAATATATTTCACAGAGAGAGTTGAGTTTTTAATAATTATAAAAATTATAAAGAATTTTACATTTGGTGAGAGAATAAAAAATAGTATGAAGAATGAGTTGTTCCCAAAGCTTTTCTATTATTATTCTTTTTTTATTTAAAAAAAGAGGGTGTTTTTTTACGGAGACGTAAATTGTTTCAGCGAATCGATAACTCTGCCAACAGCTTAATGGAACCGTTGCAACATGTTGCAAGATTGTTGCTCTGGTTTCTGTTGCGGTTGATATGGTACGCGACCCAGTTTGTAAACTTGCCTGGCATTTATGGCAAAGTCCACTTCGATGAGGATGCACCAGATCCGCCGCCACCACCAAAACCCTTCCTTTATCACTATCCCTGTGATCAAAAGCGAACACTCTATATGTTGAACGAGACCGTTGCTGCTAAAGGTGTCACCAATCACTCCGATTACTGTTCGCGGCCTTTTTATGCTCAAAGAGTAAATATTTTTTATTTTACTTGAGACGGAGGATAAGATTTTATGATTTTTATACATACTAAGCAAATATTACAAACATATTTTTATCTATTAAAAACTTATTTTACGACTTATTTGCAATTATTAACATTTTACCTTAATTTTGATAAATACGGTTTTAAACAGTTTTTAATGAATGTAGAGGCTTAGCATGTGTAAAACTGTAATTATCATACAAATATCATACTTTTTAAGACAATCTTAAAACAATCATAATGTTAATTAAAGTATTTACAAATAAGTACGCGCGAATTAAAAACGATTACTTGTGCATATCATTGTACTGTCAATAATTTCACAATTTGATACTATAATTGTTCAATTTACATATTTACAATGTATCAGAATAATGCATGTAAAGTGATTGATTGGATCAGCATGATAATCATTGACGAACATTGACGAAAGAATGAAGTAATGAATGCATCGAAATTTTTAATAATAGAATCAAATTAAAACAAATTTATAAGAAATTATTTCTTGATTTATTGATAATATTTTTGATATACTCTTTAAAGATGATTGATGATATGCTCTTTTGTAGTTTCTTATGTTCTTTATTTTTCAGTTTATGAAAAAATTGATGAGACACACATTATTAACATATTTATTCTGTTAAATTAATTGATGACAATTTTATATAAAAGATATTATATTGCATAAATTACGTGCGTATAATATAATACAGCAATTGAATAGTTTTAAAAAAATAATCGTCTGTATTAATTTACAGGTTGCACATACTAATCTATTGCTAGTTGTGGTGGACAGTATGTACCCAACGTGCTACAAAAGATTAGAAGTAACACCTGTCAACATCTCACCCCTCGAGTACACAAATAGCACGGGCGACAAACCCTGTCACAAGATTCCATTGAACACTCTAAAAAGGCGCAGGCTGAATTGCTTCACAGAACATCCTCTGGAGCATGTGACTTATGGCTGCGGAGCATCTGAACTGATGGTGTCTCTGTCACTGTTATATATCACTGTTGCTAGGATTCTGTATATCTTCGTATGACGGCAAATTAGCCATCCTTGGTATATGGTAACTGTATTGTTTTACAGTAAATAATAAAATAATAAAAAATAAATAAAATAACACAAGAAGTATAAATATTTCTCCTTATATATATATATATAATTTTTTAATGTAAAATATTAAATATTGCTTTTTTAATATAGGTAGATATTAATTTCGATTTTGAAAACATTTTAGCGGGAAATAGTAGTGTATCTCTTAATTTTTATAACACTTAAGCCGATATTCATAATCCGTTTTTATTACAAGATTGTCTTGAGTAATATCTCAACATGGATCTGTGATTGGTTTATGACATCTTAAAACTATTCTAGACGATCTTAAATATAAGAACTAACTATGAATACCGGCCTTATATATAAATAAGAAATAAATAATATTTTAAAACTAAATTTTCTTTATTGTTTTCACAGATCTTTTATTCAAGAAGATATTCTATTGTGGCTTATATTATATCCGAAGTAGGAAAGAAAGGCAAAAGATAATTTTTTTGCGTTATGATACAACACTTAAAAACGACATGCATATACGAAATAGTACACATCGACGATGCACCAAATTTGATGAACGATTTTTATTAACGAACATATCCAAAATAGTAACAAATTTAGCAATAGTAAGTTTCATTTCTTAATTAGCATCCTTATAACGGTTATCGTACTTTCCTGACAGTCGAACATACTCAAAAAATAAACAATCCAATCAATTCTGATTGATTCTGATACTCGACAGTTGTCGTAGTCACGCGTCGTTTACTCGTGTTTTCCATGCGCAAGTCCATGCCTGGTCGGAAAATCGATAAACCTGAAAAGCGTTTATAGGCCTCGCGTGAGTCGCCACTAAGTTAGTGAGTGCGCATACGACGACGGCGACGATCGACGTCGAGCAGAACGATCGTAGTCATTCTTGATGTGAAACGCGAGCCTTAATTTTATTTACCGTGTCCTCGCGCACGAACAATCCCTCCTAAAGCGGACCAAGGCGGCCAGCAGGTGATCAGGGAAAGTTATGAGGTCCTGCTTTATACCTGTCATCATCGTTCTGATCCTGACCGAAGTACCCGATCGTAGCGACAGCATTTCCTATAATATGTAAGTACCTCGTGGCCTGGCAATCATCTGTCTACCTCTGTTTCTGTAATCTCTTGCGCGATACAGTATTTTTTAGTTTTATGGCAATAACACAAGTTCGATTGACCCGTATTCATATACAGTAATGAAGCGATAAATAATATTTAGGTCAACCGTGAAGGACTGTATCTCTTGGAATCGTTGTAATGACGGCATGTTCCACAAAAGATGTACTTTCGGAAATAAAAAAAATCTTGTGAAAATTGCTTAATTGTTTAGTAAATATTTGTCTCGCGAAAATTGTTACAATCTCATTATTATTGAGAATTAATTTATTAAATATGAACTGGATATTTACGTGTACTTCCAAATTTATATGAACGCGTTATCTTTTTTCAAAACATTAGAATAACTTTTTTTTCGTTTTCTTATGGATAAGAATTATGATTCATCACTGCATTTAGAAGAATCGATTTCTTTTACAAATGAAATAACTGTCATTTCGTTAGACTGCTGTTGCAACCAATTAAATTACTATTCACATAATTTTGTTACCCCCTCCCCCCCTATGAACAAACTGTTTTTATTCCATTTCATTAACTCCGCGATATGAAAAAATACTATGAACAAAAAATAATATGATAATACTGCAGACCTTTTATAAATAAAATAGTAATAAAGTAAATGTTTTTATCCAAATTTCTCTACGAAAATTATTATTATTTTGTGATGATTATTTTACTCTATTAATTGACAGAGTGAAAGGATGGGCGTACAAACTGGGCTTCGAGCTGTCACAATTGGGCAAATTCGTGACGAAGGTGGAGAAATTCAAAGACAGCTACAAAACGGCGGATATCACGCCACGTGATGGAAACGCTCTTGTTCACGAGATTGCTAAGGACATAAAGACTATGATGGAGTCCAAGATCTCGGCTATCAGAGTACGATTCTTCTATTCCATCTCATTTACGCTAAAATTCTTAATAACATTGGATCGATTTAATTCTTTATTATTATTAAACTTATTATTTTATTTAAAACGTAGTTGCAAATTATAGTTATTTATGCGTATTAGACAACTTTGTTTTTGCTTTCAGAGAATAATGGACGTGGCTGAAATGTCGGCGTTGTCATCACCTGACGTGGACCCGCCGAAATCCTTCGAGTTTATCGACGCGAAGAATAATAGTATCAACCTTGAGTATAGTCCTCACTTCGGTGGTGACGTGAACCTCAATATGTCAGCGGTGCACGTACCCACGAATGTGTATGATCGCGCTTCGAATGTCATCCGAGCGATTAAGTGGTCCGAAGAACTCGATCGTACTTTCATCAATAATTATGAGCATGATCCATCATTGTCCTGGCAATACTTCGGCAGCGCGACTGGTTTCATGCGTCAATACCCTGCCACGAATTGGTACATAGAGTCAGTGGATCTATTCGACTGCAGGACGAGGAGCTGGTACATTGAAGCGGCCACCAGTCCAAAGGATATTCTTATTCTGATGGACACGTCCGGTAGCATGACTGGTATACGACGGGAGATCGCTAAGCACGTTATAAATAACATCCTTGATACCCTTGGTAACAATGACTTCGTCAATATCATTACATTCTCTAACGAAACTAAAGAGGTAAGAATCAATCGACAAAATTAAATTATCAATTTAAAAGAACAAAAAAAAATATAAATTAAATTAGTAGAATGGTATTAATTGATATCTATTGATGAATTTGCAGGTAGTATCATGCTTTGATGGCACCCTGGTTCAAGCAAATCTGGCAAACGTACGCGAGCTGAAAAGAGCCATTTCGAATCTCAATACAGAGAGGATCGCCAACTTTTCTCTGGCCTTGACGACTGCTTTTGAGTTACTCGAAACATTCCGCAATGAGCGGGAAGGTGCAAGATGCAATCAGGCAATCATGCTAATCACCGACGGTGTACCATACAATTACAAGGATATTTTTGAGGCATACAACTGGAAGGATAATCCAGATGAGCCGTTGAAGGCCGATATGCCTGTTAGAGTATTTACCTATCTAATCGGTCGAGAGGTTGCAGATGTGCGGGAAGTGCAGTGGATGGCTTGCGCCAATAGAGGGTACTATGTACATTTGTGTACACCGGCGGAAGTCAGAGAAGAGGTCAGTCGATTGAAATTGCTTTCGAGTTTAACAAATAAAAAAAGATCTTCAAATCTGGCAAATAAAAAAAGTTTCTAAAGAATTAATATTTGATAAAAATAATTGGAAAAAAATTACTGTTAAAACTGAAATAGAAAGTCGTAATGCTAAATTTACAAATCATAGAAGTTTTAACATGGAAGATTATGGGCGAGAAGTCTTTTCAAGGTACTCGAATGAATAAAACTGTTTTATTGTAATATGAAAATCTAGCTTATTTCATCATAATGACTTGTATTAGATTTTAATAAACTAAAACTTCGGGCTCTCGAAATAATAGCAATAAGGAGAGTATAATGTCGAGTGATTGAGAGTATTCACTAACGCGGTACTTCATGCGTGATGATAAAATTCTGTATTCTGAGATTTTACAAATACATTAATTTGTTTCCGATCAACTAATGTATTTGTAAGATTTCTGAAACCATCTTAAGCGATGCCAATAATAACTTTAAAACATAAATCGCTGAATTTGGCTACAACGGAGCCGAAACGTCCGATCAACTAATGTATTTGTAAGATCTCAGAATACAGAATTTTATCATTACGCACGAAGTACCACGTTAGTAAGTGCTCTCAGTCGCCTGCTCTCCTTATTGATTGTATTAGATTTATTAAGTTTTTCGAATTTCCTAGGTATTGAAGTATGTACCGGTGATGGCAAGGCCCTTGGTACTAGGTCGCACGGATCATCCTACTATCTGGACACCCGTCTATGCCGACGTGACTGATCCAAAAATGACCGATTGGTTGTGGGAGCAGCGCGAAAATGACGAACAGAAAAAGCGCTTCTTGCTCTACCAAAGAAATAAGAAGTTTCTCAACTCAGAGGAACAGGATCGGCGATATGTGAGCAATCAGAAATGGCGGTATGATCAGATCGATCAGACCGAAGAACTGCAGGAATACAAGCTAATGACCTCGGTCAGCATGCCGGTGTTTGATCGACGTGATAACGCGGTAAGATTTTTATTCGTCCGTTATTTTACAAATAACGTTCAAAATCGGCCGATAAAAGGACGACAGTCGTGCGTCCTGTACGTTGTCGATAAAGGACAGCCTAAAGGTTAATTAAGATCTCCTTATGTTAAAATAAAATGATAGTTCTCTCTTCAGCATTCATTATCAAATATCACTCACTTTTTTCTTTCTGTTGTCTGCGCTTTCATATGCCTTCACGTTCTTCGCAACATTTTCGTAAATTCTCAATATCTCTCAAATGGTGTAAATGTGATTTCTTCATTAATACCCAAAAATGTTAAACGAGACAAAAGTCGCAAAATTCGCGAATCACATTTCCTTGAGGTATATATTCACGCTGCACTTGCTTTGGTTTTAAGTTCCTCTTTGTCCACAGAACATCACAAGGCAGGTGCTGGTGAATGAAGCATACTGGGTGACTGAAACAAGAGAGGTTGGCAGTTAAACAAAAAAGTCAAGCAAAATTATTCTATGATGCATATAGTACATCCTGTATCTTTATCTTTCGTTTTCGTGCAATCGACGACCTACGACCTCATCTTCGCTATCAGTCTTAATTGTCGTTTTATGGACCTTAATTTATTACTCATTAGATTCGTTAAACTTTGAAGAATATTTACTTTGAAAACATATTACTTAAACAACATTGTAATTATTTTAATTTTTTTGTCTCTATTAAGAAACGAAACATTTTAATCTATTAAAATCTTTAAGCTATTAAGTGTATAAAAAATATAATCGCGATGTAAATGATGCTGGAACAAGGTCGTAGATGCACATAGATCTCTTTTAGGTCTACATTCGACTCTCTGGTATCTTATGTTGATCTCTAACGTTAGTTACTGGAATTATTTAAAATCATTAGGTAGGTTTAGGTACGTTAGTCTACCCTGTGTCCTGTCGAGACGAGTAGAAAAAAAGGCAAAATTCTGCCCGCCTGTTGGATTGCGTTCGGCGAAAAATAATATCCTCGTAAAGATTGATTCGTAGAGATCGTTCTGCAGTGACTACTATATATCTACATAATGAAAGAAAAAAATATTAACTGAAGGAGCAAGTGAATGGATTTTTAAAAACAACTTTCGTTAATAAAATTAAAATTGATTGCATTTTTAACAATTTTTTATAGAGAACTTTGAAATTAGATTTATAAAGATGAAAATAATGATTTCCTTTATATAATGATAATAATTTTCTAAGCACTTGCTCCTTTTATTACAAGTAACAGCAGGCACGCACGTACATGAATAACATGAATTTTGGCAATTTATTGAGTGCTAGATTTTGTTAGTCAGAAACATTCGTAGATCTAATTCAAGCGACGACCTCTCAAGTTTATCTTAATTAATCTTACATGCATGTACAT